GTCCGAATTTAATCATTTTTGTTATATATTTCATTTTAATGAAAATATAAATAGATAAGAACTTTAAAAAGAATCAAATGATTAAAAAAACTAAAAACTACTTTTTTTGTTAAACAATCCAAAAAAGAACTAAAAATTCAGAAAGAATTCAAAAAAGTTTGAAAGTGATGAATTTGTTTTTATTATTTTATGTGATTTGTTAAAAAAGTTAATAGAATTCAATTAATTTTGTTTTAGTGAGTAATAGAAGAGTTTATGCTACAATGGGTGATAGTTTCCAACAAACGAATAATTTTTCAAACTCCTTTACCTTGCCAAGTCCCAATCCAACAACTGCTTCCCAACCAGATGGTACAACACCAAACCCATCATTTGCTTCAGTTCCTTATCCACCACAACAGACTCAACAAAGAACTACAACAAATAATAATATGGCACTTCCCCAACAAAATATGGGATCTATTCCACAACAAACACTAAATGACCAAACATTATTACAACAAAATATTGTTCCAACTCAATACTCTAATCAACCTGTACAACAACCACAAGTTAATCAACCTGTTCCTCAAGAAAAGCCAAATGTAGACCAAAGCTCTATGCCAGCACCTACTATTATTAGTTCACAACCAACAGCATATAATAATCTTATTACTCCTCCATCTTCACTTCAGCCATTTACCTGTGCTGTTAGTAATAAGTCTTCCCCAAAGAATATTAGAATGAGTGTCTTTACACCTGCTTTTCAAGGTAAAATGATGAAATTACTTGAAATTCCATTGTCATGTGAAGTTACACCATTTGCTAAAATGTTTGAAGGAGAAAAATTAGAAAGTGTAAAAGTTGAACCAAAGAATATTAAAAGATGTCCAAGATGTGGTGGATATGTTAATCCATTTTGTACTTTTGAAGAAGGGGGAAAAAAGATGAAATGTAATTTGTGTGAATATTTATCAGATGTAGATGATAATTATTTCTCACCTCTTAGAGGAGATGGAAAACGAGAAGACACAGAACGTAGAATTGAATTAATGTATGGAACAAATGAATATGAATTAGAAGGAAAAGACCCAGTTTATATAAATAAAAGCTGTGGGGAGCCAATGAAATTTATTTTCCTTATTGACGTATCAAAAGACTCTTTAACAAGAGTATTTGATTCTGTTATGAATGTTCTTCAAAATGCACTTCAAAGTGTTCCTGAACTTGTTAAAACATTAGAATGTGGATTTGTTACTTTTTCTAATTATATTCAATATTGGGTTCTTGGTAGTACTCCACGTATGGTTAAAGTCTGCGACATAACTGAACCATTTGTACCATTAGCACCAAAGAATTTCTTTAAACCAATTTCTGAAGTAATTGAAATGATTCCAATGTTAAACCAATATATCAGGAAAAATATTACTGAGGGTGTTATTAATGATAATTGTTTAGTTAGTGCTATTGAAAGTGCTGCTCAAATGATTGGAACAACTGGTAAAATTCTTGCATTTACAACCTCTCAACCAAATGAAGGAACTGCAGCTCTTATTAGAAAACCAAGTGACATTAGTTCTAATCCACAAACACCAGCTAACCAATATATTAATCAAATGGCAAAGAAATTAAGTTTAAATTGTATTGGAGTAGATTTGTTTGTTCTTCCAAATAAATTTAGTGACATTGTAACTATTGGAGAAATTCCACGATATACAGGAGGGGAATTATTTTATTATCCAAATTATAATACTAAAAACCAAATTAAATTAACTAAAGACGTATTATCATCTTTTGATATGGATTGTGGATTTGATGTTGAAGTAAGAGTTAGGTCATCTGCTGGTGTATTTATTCAAGATTATTTAGGAGATGTAATGCCATGTAAAGATATGATTGATACTGTAAGAATTGGATACATGAACAGTAAAAAGAGTATTATTGCATTAATGGATTATGATGATGAACTTAACAATTATGTTGGATTCTTTATTCAAGCAGTAATTTTATACACCGACATCTTTGGTCAAAAGAAAATTAAAATCTTTAATGGATTTTATAGTACTGCAACAGAATTAGCTGATGTTTTTAAGAAAGCAGATTCAGATGTAATTCTTAACACTTTGATAAGACAATCTATCAAAGCTGGTAATTTCTCATCAGACGCTGGTTTAAACATTGAATTACTTGACAAAACAGTCTCAATTCTTACTGCCTATAGAAAACATTGTAGTGCTCATGCTAAATCATCAATTCTTTTACTTCCAGAGGCATTAAAATTAGTGCCTATATTTGTTCTTGGTGCAATGAAAACTTCTGCATTTATGCCATTTTTCCAATTAAACTCTATGTCTACTGGGTATGGAATCAATGGAATTATTAGTGATTTGAAATTTGCTTCAATACATCAAACTACATCTATTTCTATAGGATCTTTATTAAGGCAATATTATTATAATGCCTATGATGTTACTGGTCATTTAAGTGGAATAGTAACTTCTGATAATTTCTCTGATGATTCATTTAAAGTTCGTTTATCTGAGAAAAATTTTGCTGAAGATAAAGTATACCTTATGGACACTGGAAAGGATTATAAACTTTTCGTAGGAAAGAATGTTTCTGATGAAATTAAAACTAATTTGTTTGGTCAACCAATTGACTTAATGAATAACCAACAAGACTTCACTTCTTTAGTTTATTCAAATGCATTGTCTCAACCTGATAATTTGTTGACTAAATTGATTTATTGGCTTGCTGGAATGACTTTTACTCCAATGGTAGCCCTTGAAGTAATTCCATTCAATAAAATGGATTTATCTCCTTTTATGCTTGAAGATAAAACAATGAAAGGTGTTGCCTATTTTGATTTGCTTGTGTATTACCACAAAAAAATCCAAAAAAAATTAGCAAATTAACTTCAAGTGATCTATTTTAAAATAATTTTGCTTTGTTGTTTTTTAAAGAAATTTTAGTAATAAAAATAATATTCAATTAATTAAGTGTTAATAGAATTAATTTTTATTATTCTTTGTTCAACAGAGACTAGTTTTATTCACTAATTCTTCTTCGACCAAATTTACAGAATATTTTTAGTTGTGATTGTTTAATAATATTCATCATATTTTTAATATCATTATTTTTAACTACTTTATATTGTTAATTTCATTTTTAATTATTTATTTAATTAATACTTGAAGTATTTATTCTTTAATTGACTCAAATTTACTACTGGAATTATTTGGATATATCTTTGTTTTTCTATTTTCTTTATTCTATTCTTTATTTCTTTATATTTATTTCTTTTCTTCATTTATCTTCATTATTATTATGATATGAAACATTATTCATATCAGTTATTAGATTGGTTTTATTCTTTTTTATCAATTACTTATAATTTTGTCTTTTATTTTATTTCTTGTATTAATTTTATATTGTGTCTATTCCCTGTTTTTTTCAGTTACTTATTTTCATTAAACTTATATTTAATTCATTTATTGTTATTAT